ATTTTTTGGTAAAAATGATAATATGTTGTGATCACTTTGTTGTTATTGCACCTTGAAGGACGACCCAAGACGCTTTGAGTATTTGAATGCTTTACGCTGAGAACAATAAATTATTGACACAATGAACATGCAAAAATATTGCTCTTTACTTCGTTTTGCTTAATAAATTAATTATGCTTGGTAACAAGTAGTTTTAAGAATTTCGCAAGAATTCTGTGTCTGTTTGTGTATTCTGTCTGTCTGACTGACTCACTGTTTGCCTTTCTGTCTATTTGTTTGTCTATCTGTCTGTTTGTATTTCTGTCTGTTAATCTCTTTCTGCCTGTCTGTCTGCTTGTCTGTCTATCTGTCTGATTGTTTGTCTGTCTGTCTGTTTGTCTGTCTATTCTTTTATATATCTAGATCTACATGGCGGGTTTCCTTATCTACCTACATGATTCTGAGTGTTATTTTTACCCCCAGTTATTAGGTTTTCTCTCACCTTTCACCTTTTTCAAGTTTAGAGACTCATTTTTATTTCAGTTACGTAATGATGAAAATAAACTTCGCATCCTCCTCCTCATCTTCTTCTTTTTCATCCCTCCTCCTCCTCATCCTCCTCGTCTTCCTTCTTCTTCTTCTTCTTCTTCTTCTTCTTCTTCTTCTTCTTCTCCTTCTCCTTCTCCTTCTCCTTCTCCTTCTCCTTCTTCTTCTTCTTCTTCTTCTTCTTCTTCTTCTTCTTCTTCTTCTTCTTCTCTTTAGCTGTCCATCGATATCGCTGAGAACTAAAGCGTATGCATGTTTCAGCTTTGCCTGTTAGGTAGATATAGAGGAAGGAAAAAGATTACATCAGTACTACTTCCCTGCCTTCAGATTTTTACTTCCTAGATCATGCTCCTAAGGAGAGACATAGTCGGTATGTTTAGTATCAAGGAATGTGTACCTGCGTCTGTGGTGTAGCGGTTTTGCGCTGTGCTATTGCATGCAGGAGTCCCGAGTTCGATTCTTTAGTGAAGATAATTGTTCTCGATTATCGCAGGCTTCCTGCTGGGATGTTGTAGCCTATCAGTTGTATCCCTCTCAGCCCAGGTTGGTCCTGACATACAGGATCAAACGCTCGCATCCTAAAGTATCTAAATTGTGTTGATATGGGCGTAAAAACACCTACATTTAAAAAAATGAAAGGTGTAAGGGTGGTGTGATCTATGTCTGTTACATGTTCGCACCAGTTGAATGAAACCTTCTCAAAATCTGAGATAAAATTCTCAATCTTAGAATGTGGTTGGCTTCGGTGTTCTGTGGCTGCGAAGTCAAGCTGAAGAAAAACCCGATAAGCATTCCGAGCATGGGTCACCCGCATCACACCCACAGTGCAGCTAGAGGTACCAACAGTCAGTGGTATCGACGTCCTCAAACCCAACTTTTAAAGGAAAGTGCTAGAATCTACTACAATGACCATCTCTTTTGATTCTTCTTTAGCACAATATATTGTGTTATCACTGAGTTCAACACGTTGAAAGGAAAAGATTAGATATTGGATTATGGTGAAATCATCATTCATCGACAACTAAGAGGTATATTGTGATACGGTAGCCTCAGTATTTAGGACATTGAAAACGTCCTAACACTTTTTCATTTTTTAAAGCAATTTCATTGTTATTTGGTAAGATTATCAACTACTACAATACAACAATTTGGTCAACAAGAAAAGTGCATACTTCAATTAGTTTTGTTTTGGCATTTTATGTTGTGGGTTACATCGGAAAACGCGGACATTTTAGTGGGGGGGGGGGGGGAGGGTTATAAAAAATCACCCCCCAAAAAATAATAAAAAGGCTATGATTATATGCTATCACAAAAGGTTGCAATATTGTTGTAAGTACTTCATGCAAAATGTGAACCTTATTAGTCGAAAAATGTGGAAGCCTTAGTATTTTTAGTAATCTTGCGAAATGAGATAGTTTACGTAATCTGTCAAACAGTATGTAAGAAAAGCAACCTTCATATAATATATTCCTCTCAGTTGCTCAGGTATGATGGTTTTACCCATTCAAATCCCTATCTATTACCCTCAATTACACTGAAGACAGGTATAACAGCAATCGATGCACATACGGCAAATTTAAAAAGAGCCCAATTTTTGCAGCACCTCCTCTCAACTTCTATAAATAAACGTAAAATCAGTACAAGTACACAGAAGTGTGCGCGAGAAGCCACTACAAAGGACTCCGCGAAGACATTCATAAAGGAACTTTTCAGGAAGGCGCGCATGCGCGTAAAGTAAACACTGGTGCCTAACGTTTGAAAAGCAACAAAAATATGAGAGAAAGCTGAGGAAAATTCAAGCGCTCGTTTCTCGGTAACCTTATGCTCCCTCTCGCCGGTAAATGAACCCGCGAGATTGGCCCGTGTGTCGAGGGCAGGCGCTGCCTACATCGGCTTGGATAAACACAACCCTTCATTAACTGCCAGGATAAACATGGCTGCGTTTCTTTAGCCAATCATTCTTCAGCTTCCCATT